GTGTGGGTCCAGAAACAGACTGTACAAAGTTATAAGATTCAACAAGATCCAAAAAGTCCTTGACCATAGGTTTCTCGGTGCAGCATACATGGATATTAAAGTCACCCACAATAAGTATGCGGTCAAATTTCAGCAATATGTCAGCTAAGAATCTGGAGAAGTCACTTAAGAAGTCTTTGTTGTATTTGGGTGGCCTATATACAACAGCACACAACACGGGGGGATCAGAAGCCAAAACAAACACGTTTATCTCAAAGCTCGACGCAGAAACATTCAAAGCAAACGGTGTACATTTAAAGTTTTTCTTGTAAACAGTCGCTACTCCACCTCCACGCCCCGTTGTTCTTGGTGTGGAAAGATAGGTAAAGTCAACAGGCAAGAGTTCAGCAAAAGCACTAGACTCACCGACGTTGATCCACGTCTCCGTTATGCACAAGAAATCCAACCCGTGAGACATAATGAAGTCCTGTAGAATGAAGGTTTTGTTCACCAGCGATCTAGCGTTTACCAGCGCTATCCTGGCTGGAGCCACAGTACTGCTAGCCTTCCTGGTAGCCTCGCAGAACGTCCGATCAAGCGAGCGTAAGTTGTGAACATTCACTCCGCGTAACTGGCCACGGGACAAGGGAGGATGACAGGTCAGTGTCCTCTCATCATCCAAACCGACCACAGGAACAAGGTATCTGGTCGGACCATAACGCCTCGAGTCGAAACTGCTGCGCTCCCGGGCAGCAAGCAACAAACCGGCCTTTAGCTTCACCAGCCTTCCACTGCGTTTCCCCCGGCGTCTACGACGCGCTCTGTGCGAGGGTAGAGCCGGACAGCGGAGGTGAGCCGGTATCCCGGACAGGAATGGTGGGCAAGAACTTCCATGCTCCCCCCACTCGATATTCACCAAGTCCAGGCTAAAAAGTCGAAGATCCAGTAATGTTTGGCGATCATAGACCAGCAGAGAATTGACTTTTACTGCAGCAAATGTCAGGATTGCCACAAACAAAAACAGAGTGCGAATTGACAGACGGCGAGCCAAACACACTGGCGCCATCTTGATGAGACTAAATCTAACTTGAATAAACAACTAAATATCTATCAATCAACACCATTAAACGTCAATCAGACAGTACAGTATACATATACATCCTTAACACACATGCACGGATGATTTCAGAATTTGCTGTTAACGTTTTCATGACAAAAATGCTGTTTCAATGTGACAAAAAGCGATTTCGAAAAACCCGGAAGTTACCATGAAACAGCTAGCTAGCTTAGCTGTTACCTGCCTAGCACGTCCCGGTGAAACCTTTGGGAGCTAACTATTTTATTTGCAGTCATTAAATACATTTCGAATTACAAGGGTTTTCTAATATTTGTTCACATTTTTTTATTCAATTATTTTGTTCATCATTTTTTATTTTAGAATTATATTCGAATTTTGAAGTCGAAGCCCTGGTGTTAAAGCTGCACTAACTGACTTTATTTTTGTATTCATTACGAAAATGCTATCCATGTCCATGTAGTGCATTGGGATATACATCATTTTGAAGAAAAAGTAGCGCAGATTTGTGCTGGCGTGACATTATATTTTAGATCGAGTTTTGATGAAACAAGGAAGAGAATGTGTTTCGGGTCGCGGATTGTGACCAATAGCAGCGCACCACTAGCCCCCACTTTCGTGAGAAATCTACAAGTCCGTTAGCATAGACGGCTGAGTTAGCACAACAAGACGAGGAGCTAACCTGAAACTTCGTGTGTCTTCGTCACCGGTTACTGCTTACACAGCGAGACAGCCATCCAAAAGAAAGTCCCGTTCCTCCGCGCTTCCCGGTTCTATCGTTTTATGGTCACGCCATCCACATGCAAATCCATATTCGTGTATTATCCATATTGGGAGACACTAACTCCGTCCCAACAGTGAGTGTGTGTGGGGGGCGATAGCTTCGTGGGTGCGGGGAGGGGAGCAGAGAGAGAGAGGCCAGCGGGTCTGCGGCTTCAAAATCCCAAAGTCAGTTAGTGCAGCTTTAAGCAGCGCTGTAGAGGCTAGAGGCACAGGCTGTTCCCTGCTCGTTCTGTGAGCGGAGGAGAACGAGCGTCCCGTTTAGACTCTACTCAGCACTTTTCACTGCTTGTAATTCTTATACAGCTGAATCCATTACCTCAAGTTTTCAATTAAATGATGTATTATGATACAACTTGTATGTAGTAAAAAGCATTTTTATGAACTACTTAGAAAAAAAAATCGGGTATAGCTTCTTTAAGAGCAGGTCGTAGCTTCCCATTTTTCCTTTTCCCTACATCGGCTCGGGAGGGCGCCGTGGTTACTTGATTGCCAGCTGTGTCGTCTTGTTTACCATCTGTATCGGGCGCATAAGAACCCATCGCCACGCTTCACAAAGACTAGGGTTGAGTTTGTAAGCTTTTGGTTAGGTAGTTAGCGGGGTATTCTTAGCTTTGCAGTGTACATTAATAAGTTATCGCTTAAGCTTCCGGGGGTCTTTTTTGTTATCATGAATGGAGTGGTTGAAGATTTTTTTGGAGGCACCATGTGAGAGTAGTTTGGAGCTCTGCACTAAAAGGCATTTAATATGCAATTGCAGACTGTTACAAGGTTGATATTAGGAATTCAACTGTACTGAAGGGTGTTCTTAAAAGCAATTTAAAGGAAAATTGATTTGGAATGGGGCGACAGTAGCTCAGTTGGTAGAGCATTGGCCTTTGGGCCTGAAGGTTGTGGGTTCGAGCCCACCGTAAGACCTACTTCACGACTCCCACTGATGACTGCTGTCGTTGTGTCCTTGGGCAAGACACTTAACCCTACTTTGCCCAAAGCCCCAACTGAAAGATCTCGGCTCCTGTGGACTCACCACCTGCAGGAGGATCAGTGAGGGGCTGGTGCTCTGTGTCCTGGGTGCAGCTCTGACTGCCACCCCCCGACCCAGAAATGGATTAAGGGGAAGAAAATGGATGGATGGATGGATGATTTGGAATGGGCATTTTGAGAGCAGAGGAGCAACCGACAGGCTTGGTTTGACCTGTGGGTGAGACTTGTTTAACTTTTGAGCAGCAGAAATAGTTGCTCTTGTTAAGATTGGACGCTGAAATGGAGTGTGAGAAGATGAGGCAGAGGGTTGAATTGGCTAAACTTGACATTGAGCGGCAGAAACTGGATTTGAAGAGACAGGAAATGCAGAGTAGTCCTGGACCTTAACATACGGAGGATGAACTTGTTCCGGAGGTTTACGGACGGCGTTTTTGTTGCTGGAAACAGGTTTATATTGCATTTAGCCGGGTCTGGGCTGATGTGCCTCCTCCAGTCCAGATGGCCGAGACTTCTGTGTTATGTAGTAACCCTGGTGAAACTGAGAAGTTTTCTGAAGAGTCCTCTCTGTGGAAAATTGTGTGCTCAAAACAGTTGGAAGAGGATGACGTTTTTGCTTCTGTTCCCAACGATGTTGATGTTTCAGTGCCAGTTCTTCCCTGTTCGGTGACACACTACATCCTGGTGGTGGAACAGAAGTCTGTTGCCCTGGAGGGATTAGTGGGGGATCCTGTGCACCTGGTGGTGGTTTCTTTAAATTGTAGTGATGCTGTGTTACACATCTGTCACAACCAGAGGAGCCATCGTGGGATCAGGAACACTTATGGCCATAGCTGGTTTATTTCTGTCATTCCACACTCAAGTCTAGAGCTAAATGCCAAAGAGATGCTAGGCTCCGAGGTGTTTGTGACTGGTCCTGTTGAGAGTGCAGAGGTTTATCTACAACTTGGACTTTCTCTACTGCATTTTGGTTTTCTTTTCTTGGTCAGTGTTCAACAGTGTTCAACGCCTGTGGCATCCTGGAGAATGTAAGCTGCTGGAGAACGAAGTAGAGTATGGTGGTGTTGCTGTTTCTTCTCACTCTAGCTGGGCTTCACAATAATTGCTGGTGCCAAGTTCAGATGAAGCGACTGGAGACTGCAGGGACTGTTGTGGTCTGGAAGCTGGTGCCAGGTCCATTCTGGTGGGAGCGTGGATGCTTCAGCCCCACCGTGCAAGCGTCACTGGGACGGCACGGTGGAGACCAAGTCCCAGGGCCAACACTTTTTGTAAGGTACATTGCTTGACACCATTTTTATTCCGATATATCTGCCAAACATTTAAGATGCCCAGTTACTCTATGGTTGCAACGTCCTCTGGGCTGCTCAGAATGTTTTAGTTTGATAGATAGATTTGATTAATTTGAGCCCAAACAATATGTTCATAAGTAATTTTTTTTGTAGTTATTCAGCATTTACATTGTTTTAATTTTCAAAAGTGAAATAAAGGTTTGCCTCCCTCAAATACAGTATAAATTTATATACACACACGTCCTCAAATAGGCTATCCCTCTTTGGGACTCGCCGAAACAACTTATCTGCTGAGATGGTATGTGCGACCGCTGAATGTGCAACGGCCAATCAATGGGGAATATACCAGTCTGATTCAGCCGCTTCGAAACATGGACGAACAGATGCATTTTGCCTACTTCAGGATGTTGGCAAGAAAGTTTGATTTGGCACATCGACTGAGACCCCATATTCGCCACCAGATTACACACAGGTATCCGATTACCTTGCACGAACGGCTGTGACTCCGAGGTTCTTGGCTAGTGGAAGTACCCAGCAGGCATTGTAGCTACAAGTAGCTACAAGATGGCTTGTTTCACAGCCTCCAGGATTGCGACGGAGACATGTGAGGCATTGTGGAAGGCACTGCAGGAAGATTTTCTGCCATCTCCGACTAGCAGTGGCAGACTATCGCTGCCGATTTCAGGAGACTATCGAACTTTCCTAATTGTTTCGGGAGTTTGGATGGCAAACAAGTGAACATTCGTGCTGGAAGCAACTATTTCAATTACAAGGGAGGCCATTCCATTTTTCTGATGGCCACGTGCGACGCGAGGTACAGGTTCACGACGGTGGCTGTTGGAGCATATGGTCGAGAGAGTGACGGAGGAGTGTTAAGGGAGAGCGTCTTTGGATCCATGCTGCTGAACCACGAGGCCAACCTCCCCCCGCCTGCCATTCTTCCTGGTACAACAGTCCAGTTTCCCCACGTCCTCGTCGGTGGTGCCACCTTACTTCTCCGCAATAATCTGATGCGGGCATACCCTGGTAGGTCCATTTACATTTGTTGTATGTTCTGCTTCTTACATGGTATGCTGCAAAAGTGGTGTTGAAAGTTAATTCATGAGAGGTTTGTATTGGAAAAAAAAAACCATTGCATGTAGTGATAACTGTCTTAAGTAATTGCAGGGGCAGCCCTATCTGAGGAGAAGGTATTCAACTACCGCTGGTCAAGAGCCAGGAGGATCACTGAGAACACTTTTGGGATTTTGGCGGCGAGATGGCGAATCCTTGGACGGCCCCTCAAATGCTTTCCAAACAAAGCCATAACAATTGTGAAGGCCTGTGTGGTGCTGCACAACTACCTCGCCTACACCGATGAGGGCAACACTGAACCCTGCTGCTACATCACACCCTCATTTGTGGATGTGGACACAGTGGGACAGCTGCAAGAGGGTGAGTGGCGAAGAGTGACTGCAGGAAGCCTGGAGGACCTCGCCCCCTACCAGCTAACCCGTGCAGGGTCCACACGAGCAGCCAGGGCTGTGCGCACAGATCTGACAACCTTTTTCACCTCTAACATTGGCATGGTGGCATGGCAGTATGACGTCGTACGGCGAGGACTGCTCAATCATGTAGAGCATTAGCATGTGTTTACACATCCCGCGCATGGACCAATTGATTGTATTGAATTTTCACCTTATGCACAATAAAGACTGTTAGTAAAAATATCTGGTGAGGTTTTTTTCTGAGCTCTACACTACCATGCATTGTTGACTAGTGTAGACTTAATGATCGATTCAAACACCTGCATACCATTTTTGATACTCACCTGTCTTGATGATAACAAACACATCTTTTGATTTTATATATATATATTATATATTTACGTTTTCAAAAATTACTTTGGGTCATTCATTAATTTAATTAGTTACGTTACGTAAAAATTTGACCTGAATCTAGTATATTTTACTCTAGCAGGCAAAGTATTGGCTTCACTACAACTATAGAGCTCCATCCCTTTCACGTTAACCGGAAGAAAAATACATCATGGTCGTTCTGTGACAACCAACACTTTTGTATAATATTCTGATTTTGCATTTTTGAGTATTGAACTTTTGTCTGGCGTTGTGACGACGTACATCCAAATATACTTCGGTAGTGCTGGTTAGCATGCTAGTTAGCATGGTAACAAGCATGGTAGCCAGCATCACACTTTTTGCCTATCGCGTAAACCAACAGATCTTAAAATAGCTTACCGTAACATTTGTGGAGGTCTGTCACTCTCGATGCCTCACGTGTGGCAATAACCACGACAGACTATAATATAACCTGGACACTTTCTGTCAGTCGCCGGCATCCCCACTTCGTCCGACCATCTTCTTTTGAGATGCACAAATTTGTCCCGCACCAGTTTCCACCTTCGTTGGCACTCCGCCACATCCATGCCCAACGTCTGGGAGATTTCTCTCCATGAATTGATGGTCATCTGGGCGTCTTTGTAGTCGGGGGAGTTGGCGTCGTAGATATCCTCCTCGCACAGCCTCTCCTCGACTTGGTCCATGGTGATTTAAAAATGGCGCTCAAAGTGCAGAGCTAGATGGCGCCCAGCAAAAACACGTCATCAAACACGGGCCAATCACAGTAGAGCTTAGAAAATTTTGATGCTGCGCGGCAGGCTACGTAAGAGCCTTGCGATGATCCACACGTTGCGCAAGTGACGTCACCACCTTAAGCTCCGCGCCGCGTGACTATACACTAGGCTTAAGAGTCCACAAGCCCACCCATCTCTACGTGATCAGCAGCGCACCGGCCTGTGCTCTGAAGTGGATGCGCCCGTCGGCTTTGTTCCATAACCCTGTCCACGTAATCTCTTTGCCCCGACAGCTTTAATAGTTGGAGATTCTATTATCAGGCACGTCCGGGTTTTTTATGCTGTCACCCACTGCATCCCTGGTGCCACTGTGCCAGATCTAATACTAAGGCTCCCCACACTGCTCAAAGTCAGAAATAACGAAGAAAACCTTCGTAGATCTTTCGCCTGCTCCACTCATCTGGACTGTCAATCTTCATCTCTGGCCCAATCCCTACAATAAACCGGGGCGACTGTTTTTATAGCAAAGTTGTAGCGCTGGATCTGTGGTTACAGTCAGTGTGCAGCTTGTTTAATGCAGTCTTTGTGGACAACTTCGGACTCTTCTGGAAGCAACATATTGCCTATCGACCTGATGGCCTGCATCCAAACAAGTATGGCACTGGATTGTTGATGGACTATTTACGTCACATGGTGTAATGGACCCCTAAAAGAAAGTGACTTGTTGAAACTACTATCCAGCTGCCCCAGTTGGCCCCGCCCTCAGAGCGTTTCCCCTCTTCATTACCAGTATTCGGTGTGTACATCGAAGGGGACACTGACCCCTCTCTGCGTGGAAAGGGCGCTACATCACCTCCCACTAAACTCTACCGGTCTGCAAAATGTTAATCACATTCCATGCATTATTAGACCAAGACGGGAAGTGAATAACAAAATAGGAAACTGTCTATTCAGAAAATCCTTATTACTGTCCCTATTTCAACTGAAATTGATCATAAACTTGCTGTTTTTAAAGTTCAGATTTCTATGCAATAAGTCCTTTTTAATTAATAGTTTTATTAGCTCAAATAATCTTGATTGTATATTTTTTACTGACGTGTGGCTTGATAAAAATACAGGCAATACAGTCCTAATTGAATCAGCTCCACCACATTTTAAATTTGAGTTTAAGGCACGTAACAATAAAAGAGGAGGTGTATGTGCCCTGCTTAGGGACTCAATCCCTACCCATAGGCTGTAACTGGGTGAATTTCCATCATTTGAGTACGTATCCCTTAAAATGGAGCTAAAACCTTCACCATCTATACTTTTTATAGTTATTTACAAACCTCCTCAGCACTGTTTTAAAGATATTATTGGTGATTTTACTGAAATGCTCTCGGTCATCTGTTTAGACTTTGATTGCTTAGTTATCTCAGGTGATTTTGATATACACATGGATAATGTGGATGATAGAAAAGTCAAGGAGTTTAATTCTGTCTTAGATATATTTGGTCTGACGCAACATGTGAAAAGCCCCACCCATAATAGAGGGCATGTTCTTGATTTACTCATCACTAAGGGAGTCAATATCTTACCTATAGTAGTTGATGCTGCACTGTTCAATCATTTTTATGTTTTCTTGAACTTGTCTGTCATTCCAAAACCACCTGCCGGCCAAACAATCATTCAACAATCACACAACAAAATAATTGCGCTAAAAAAATCTTCTCTACGTTGATTTTTCAAATCCAATGCGCTGTTTTAATGCAGAGAAATCCATTGAATCCAATGCACTGCAAGCGCCGAGAAAAGCGCTTAGGGAGCGTCAACAAATGTCCAGACCAGCTTTGTAAACAAACAATAGCTTTTACTGAAGCCATGTGCACGCACAAAACTCTCAGATAAAATAAATAATGGCCATAACTAACTGCTTTGATTTCAACAATTCTGACTTGTTTTTTTTTTTTTATGAATACATGTTTCTTTTTTTAATTGCTTTAACAGTAAATAATGTTTGTTACAGCATTTGTTTTTTTATATTTATTACTAAGAATGCATTAAGTCCTTAACCAGCCTAAGAGTTCCACCTGTTTATTAAATTTCATTTTTGACTAAGGATTTGCTTTACATATGTAAATAAATGTCAATAAATTCCATTCCAAAAAACTGATTATGAAATTCCATGATTCCTGTGTAGATTGAAATTAGGACTAAAAAGAGCTCAACCCGATCCACCCAAATGGTGTCCCTTATTTTTTTGTTCTCAAGTTGGCAACCCCATGCAAACACCTAATGATTTTTACAAGAACACTTTATAAAAACACTTGATGATTAATCATTAGTATAAAATATTCCATTATTAAATAAGGAATTTTATATTTTCATAGATGTTGATACACGGATGACAGAAAAAGAAAAGGAATCCGTGTATCATTCGTTCATTTGATTTTCCATTGGAAACCAACATAAGAAAAACGGATAACCACTTGTTTTTTTTAAACTAATTCGAAAATGTGATACGTTTTTGTTTTTGTTATTTTATCCCTCAACTAAACCAAGTGTGTAAAACATGAATAACAGGCATCCTAACTTATTTTTTTCAAATTCGTTTGATGCGCGGAGTTCACCCGGAAGTAGTTTTACGTGAGCTTGCAGGTAAACAAACGTAGAAGAAGACCGGAGGCCCGGGAGGAAGGCCCGGGAGAATTAAGACGCACAATGGCAGGTTTAGAGGCTTTTGCTGACATAATAACACGTTGTTTTGAAAGCGGCCAAACGCATGCCGAAATATCAACCTCCTTACAGAAACTCGGTCTGTCAAAATGTTCCGTAATGTCCGTAAGAAGGTTCTGTTTGAACCACCAGCTGCAACGAAAACGACATGTGACAGACGCTCAGCTTGAAATTGCGATCACGTCGTCCATAGAGAAGGTATTGCTGATTTTTGCTCCACATGTGTGTTTCACATTTTAATATAGCTAATTTACATGGGTTAAATAATTAAATTGTCTGGGGTGTTGATAGACAGGCCCATCCTATGCACGCAAGTTCATGACCGGCTATCTGTCATCAGTTGGGGTGAGAACAGGTGAGAGTCGGGTGGGCAAGATTCTGAGGGAGGTACACCAGCCATACAACGAGTTACATCGTCGGGTAAGCCTCTAATAACTTTATTTAAATACATAGATAAATAAACACAGACGTGTTTATTCAGATTCAGATTCATTTTATTCGCCATTTGCAGTATGTATACACCACATTGGAATATATTTGTAAAAGTTCCCCGTGTGCACAGGACAAGTACAGACACAAAACAACATTAAAAGACAAAAATAAAACAAATTTTAAAAACAGTAAACAAATGTCACAACAAATGTCACCGTGAAGTTGACCAACTTAAAACAGATCTTTTAAGATCTTTTAGATTGTATTTTGTTATATAATTGTGACTGTAGGGGGCAAAGTTGAGCATTTACACTTATTTGGCAATGAGCAGAACTTTGTAGTAGTGAGTAGAACAGTACTACCCAGATATGAATTTATGTGCATGCATATAGAAGCTAAATATTTTCGTCCAAACTGTACACTGTAGTACATTAAAATGCAGCGCCCCTGCAGTCACAACCTTTCATCTTGTGTAAAAATACTACAGTAAATATATTTTTTAACTGATGACATGTGTTATGTTGTATCTGTTTAGGGTGCAAGAAATTTAAATCCTGTTCCATATTATACTGGATATATGGGACACAAATTGCATATAGATCAAAATGAAAAACTAGGAATGTTTGGAGCAACACATGTTGTGGCAATTGATGGTTTCAGCAGTAAAATTGTTGCTCAAGCCACAATGCCTGTGAAGAACAACCTAGTAATTTATGACCAGGTTTACAGTTTAATTTAACAAATCTACATTACATTTTTACAAAGGCCAGATGGAGTCACAGTTGTTAATGCGTTAAAATGCCAACAGGTTTACAGACAGCTCAAAAAGTGCAAGTAGTAGTAGTATATTGTAAATGTATATTAAACACCATTGTTTTTCAGAGCGGCAGTTGAAACCCATGGGATGTGGGACCAACTCAGAGTGGATCATGGTCGTGAATTTCCCCTCACTCTTTATGTGCAAGACAAGCTTTCACGACACAGATACAACAGAAGCAGACCACCTTATGTACAAACAACCTCTTCAAGGGTAAACACAGTTATATTCAATGACCCTTGTGCAAGTTTTCATAATCTGGTGAAGTTCAGTTTAGTTCTGACTTAATCCTGGTTTAGACCTTGTTTTGTCCTGGTTTAGCCCAGGTTAGTCCTGTTCAAGACCAGGTTTCAATTCAATTCAATTATTTTATTTGAGCAATAAATTATGTTATATTATGAAATGTTATTAACATATGAACATAATTTCCAAAATGTTACATTCATTATACGGACTCAAAGGTTTAGTAACTTACTCTTAACTAATTTAGACCCTGTTCTAGTTTGGAACTGGTTTAGACCCGGTGTAGAGCATAGTGGTCTGACTTTGTGTGTATGACATAAAATGTTTTTATTTTGAACAGAATCTTCGTGTGGAAAGAATCTAGCCAGAGGTCAATAACTGAGTGAACTATCCACTTAAAAGAGTATTGGTTCACCTTCAGGACCAAGAGATGCTGAGTTTGGAGGATAATACAACAAAATGTTGTGTGTCCAACCTGGTATGTCAAGTGAGCCAAATTGGATTGGGCAGAGTCGTACAGTCCTGGAATGCCCATAGAATACCAGGTATGATATTAAGCAATAGCATGTAACATATCGAACTGACTCATTTACTATGTAAATATCAAATTGAATTTTAGGCAGAGGGATACCGAACCAACTTGCAGCAGCTGGCTGCCCCTCTAGAATCCCAATCGAGTTGATGGCTGATGCTTCTGAGGCAGCACACATGTATGAGCAGGAACTGGGGTCTTCTCTCACCTGGGTATCTTCCTTCGGACAAGATCCATTTTCATCTGAGCAAGATAGATGCCATGCAGAGCAACTATTTGGACAAACCTTTCCTGACATCGCTGTACTGTTTGATGTCGCTGTTAACTACGAAACACAGACAATTTCAAGAGGCGCTGTTTTATCTTATAAATGTAACAGACAGGTATGCTTAAGTAAGTGCCATTGAATGATCATTAAATATGAATGTACTTGTTCAATTATTTGCTTTAGTTTTCTATCGATCACTTTTTAAACAGTAATTTGAACATTCAATAATCTATGTCACTTTAAAATAGGCAACTAAGCTTTTCAAGTGGTGCGAGTGCTTGATCCAGTCCTGCCACATCATGAATACTGCTCTCCAAGTCATCAGCTCGACACTTTGGGCAGTAATCATGGCTCTGCTTCCACTCCTCAACACATCTACTGCAACCAATGAAGCTTCTGCAGCATGTTGAGAAGACTGGTTTGTTCAGAGGACCTTTAAATAAATACATGTTAAACAGACTTAATTTACTGTAATCCTGTACAGCAACAGATTGTAGTCAGCATTTACAAACCTTTGCAGATCAAACAGGAAAATCCAGCCCTTATAGATGCTATTTCAGTCTCTGATAGGGTCAATGTTGTTGTAAGAGTGGCATGTGCCTGACCACTCAAATCCTTGATCATTTTAGAAACGTCCTTCAGTCCTTGCGCTGCTTCAATTATCTCCTCTATGTCAGACATGACATCTTGAAATCCCATCTCCTCCCTTCGACTGCAAAATAAATAAAAAATATACATAATTGTGTATGTATAAATGAAAGATACATAAATTACAATGACTACTGCAATTACCTTACTCGCCTCCTTTTACTGCCCTGTAGTGTTGCTACTTGTTCCTCTGGCACTGCAAAAACTTTCCTTGAATTTTGCTTCCAGAAAGTTGACCCTGCGATAGATTTTTTCTTTCATGAAATATTTACAATAAAATGCACATAAATGTAAATTATATGTGAACTTAATTATCAATTAAATGTGTAATGCACTCTATGTAATGATTACTGTAACAAAAAAGTAACCAATCTTACCTCTAGTGCCTTCGGAGTCAATAATCTTCATGCCCTGGCTATCAGTCAATGTGATTGACTCCTGCTGACCAAGAGCCTCTTTCACTTTACTGAGGATCGTTGACACGCAAGCCTCAAACTCTGAAAAGCACACGGTGACCATCTTGCTGGTCTCCAACTTTCCACTCATTACCTCGGCAATATAGATATTCCTTGATAAAATAAAGTAAAATACAGTCAGTTGACATAAACAAGAGAAATAGACATGTTATGGCACAAATAGTTTTTTAGATAAGAAGAGATGGTTTAGAACTGGTTGCGACCCAGTTTAACCCTTTTTAGATCAAGTTTTGACCATGCTGAGACTACTTTCTATAGTTCTAGTTTAGTTGTGATTCCCCACAGGTAAATGCAATGTTACAAAAATGATTATTTTTACTCATTCACACACAATGCTGTATTCTGCTTACATAAAATGTTTGTGTGTTACAATTGTTCCAATGGGCTCCAAAGCAGTGACTGAAATGTGAAAATACTTCACTTTATAAAAAAATATATTAATGCTTACCTCACATAAGTTTTAGCAGATGTAGCTCGTGGAGTCGTAGAGGATGCGCTAGCAGGGGTGCTGGGAGGACGGTGAAAAGCAAAACGCACTGGATGGTCCGAGTGTGGCTGGGCCGTGGTGTTTTCTATGGTGGTGTCACCGTGAACTGCTGACCATGTCATAGCAGTTGAAGTCACCATCGGATCGTGGAAATATGGCAACATTATTGTCATCAGTGAGATAGACACTATCTCTTTGCACCTACAAACATTAAAAAGTATTAGAAAAGGATATTTTGATGACAAGCAAATGGCAGCCATAGCCACACTATGCTAAGCTAACTGAGCTAAGCATCATGCTATACAGTTACAACGTTGTTGTGAAAAGAAATAATTAAGGCATAGAATCCGTGTACCCTTCGATCATTAGTTATTCCGTTTCAAAACAAAATCAGAAAAACAAATTACGTGGTTGTTTTATTGTATTTCCATTACCTAAATTAAATTGGAAAATCAAAACATTCTAAATGAAATATTCACCCATTTCTTTGCTATGCAGTGGAAACAAACACTACTAAAACAACTTCCATTATTTTGTTTTATATGCTACCGGAAATGATGAGTGGTGAGAGACGGAAACAACTGCAAGCTGCACTCAACTCAACTCAACTACACGACAACAACTCGCGCTGTTGTTGAGCTCGCCCCTAGGCCCGAGCTCCAGGGGCAAAATGCTTACAGCACCTGGTAAAGCTGATCCTAAGGTTGAGCGATCTCAGGATAGGTACCTGGGGGGGTCATGAGCCATTCCCAGGCAGTCTCCCATCCAAGTACTATGGGGAAAACTTTGTGGGCGCTGCTCTCAAATAGAGAGAGCCGGCTATCCCCATTCATTCTGGATTACACACGCACTCGGTAAGTCTCCTCTGATAAACACAATGTTTTTGTGCTCGTTCTTTATGTTTCACTCCATAAATCTCTCATATTGTGCGTAGATCGTTCACACACGTCTGTAGTTTAAATCTCGAGTATGTAGTGCGCTGTTTATGATTGTTTACCTCCGTGTCAAATGTTTGTTGCTGCTGCTGCTCGTAGATCTCTCTGTTTGGATCAATATTGTAAAGAAAACACTTTCTCTGCGTTGTCAAACAATCTGTATTCACTGTATTCTACTGTATACAGTAATGCAGTTTGTTTACGTCTGGTTGTAGTAGTATTTCCAGCGCTAGCTAATTATGATTAGATAATTATTGTTGATGTGTACTATCTATATGTATTTCACATTTCTATAGTTCAGCAACACATTGAGTTGAAAATGAATTATATGCAGTTAGTTTACGACAATGTATTAGTGTTTTACCAGTTCATATTTTCCTTCTATAACTGTACTTACTGTATCCCAGAGCCTCATGCTGCTAATGTCCAGATGTAAACATACAACTGTATATTGTATTTGAATATTGTAGACACATATTTTCGTCATTTGAATATGTGTCTTTTAAAATACAACAAAAACAATCTCCTCCAATACTCTTCGTTGTCCTATACAAGCCACCGCAGTCATGTCACAGTTTTATTGATAATTTTACCGAGTTGCTTTCAGTTGTATGCACAGATTTTGATAGTTTGGTTATTACAGGTGATTTTAATATTCATGTGGATAATGTTGATGACAGAAATGCAAATGAGCTGAGTTCTGTACTTGAATCCTTTGATCTCACTCAGCACGTAAGTGGCCCCACCCACAGCAGAGGGCACACTCTAGATCTGTTAGTTACAAAGGGGGTGATTATTTCAAATGTAAACGTGGTCGATGTTGCTCTTTCGGATCATTTCTGTGTTTTTTTTGACATGTGTTTCACTAACAAACCACCAGTGGACTCTGCAACTGTTCGAAGAAGGCGCATAAATGAAAATACGAGTGAACTATTTATGGAAATGATAAACTTTGAGAATGCATCGTATTCTACTGTAGATGAACTGTTTAACTCTGTCACCTCTAGTGTTTTGAATGTTCTGGATACCGTTGCCCCTGTGAAGGTTAAAATAGTGAAAAATAAGCAGAAGGCGCCGTGGGCTAAAGCAGACTCGGTCAGGGCACAAAAGAGAAAGTGCTGGAGGGCCGAGCGGAAGTGGCGCAAGTCCAACCTCCAGGTAGATTACGAGATCTTCAAAGATAAGTTGTGCGAGTTTAACCGGGTGCTACGTAGTACGAGAGAAAGGTATTTTTCTGAAATGATTGAAGGCTGCAGCAACAATCTGCGTGTTCTGTTCTCAACAGTTAATAGATTAACAAACCCCCCTGTTCAAATGCCATTAGAGCTTACTTCCAAACGTAAATGCAATGAGTTTGCTAATTTTTTCAATGACAAGGTTCAAGGCATCAAAAACGCCATTGTCTCCAATCCACAGATAACCATCCAACAGCCAGAAAGGCTCTCTGAGCTAACTCACTTTGCACCTGTAGATGATAAAAATGTCCAAGAGATAATCTCCAGTTTGAGCTCCTCCACATGCAGCAGTCTGTTACCTTCACTCACACAGATAGTAAACATGTCCCTTCATTCTGGAATATTCCCAAAGGCCCTGAAAACTGCAGTCATCAGGCCCCTGCTAAAAAAGAGCAGTCTCGATGCTACGGTACTTAACAACTATCGTCCCATCTCAAATCTGCCATTTATGGGGAAAGTCCTTGAGAAAGTTGTCTACCTACAGCTTACTAGATTTCTTATAATCAACAACTCATTTGATATGTTTCAGTCCGGCTTTAGACCCCACCACAGCACTGAGACTGCTCTCGTTAAGGTTACAAACGATATCCGGCTGAACACTGACGCAGGCAAAGTCTCAATCTTAATCTTGTTAGATCTAAGTGCTGCCTTTGACACCGTCGACCATGAGATCCTCTTACAGAGACTAGAGGACTGGGTTGGCGTCACTGGCACCGCCCTAAGTTGGTTTAGGTCTTACCTTGAAGACAGGAAGTACTTTGTGGAGATTGGAAACTGTGTCTCAGATCATATGGCCCTGACCTGTGGAGTCCCACAGGGGTCGATCCTGGGACCTCTTCTGTTCAATCTCTACATGCTGCCGTTAGGTCAGTTAATACGCAGAAACGAAGTGTCCTATCACAACTATGCAGACGACACTCAGATCTATGTCTCACTGACTGCAGGAGAACATGGACCAGTGGACTCACTCCTTCACTGTATCCAACAGATCAGTGAGTGGATGCAAAACAACTTCCTTCAGCTAAACGCAGACAAAACTGAAATGATTGTCTTTGGTCCCCAGAAACAAAGAGAGAGCGTCATCTGTCACCTACAGTCTCTCTCCCTAAAACCTTCAAACAAGGTCAGAAATCTAGGGGTAATACTGGACTCAGACTTAAATTTTAATAGCCACATCAAATCAGTAACATCAGCAGCTTTTTACCATCTAAAAAACATTGCCAGGATCAAGAACATAGTGTCTAAAGCAGACCTGGAGATTCTTATCCATGCATTTGTCTCCAGTAGGTTAGACTACTGCAATGGCCTGCTCACAGGTCTGTCCAAACAGGCTGTAAAACAGCTGCAGTACATTCAAAATGCAGCAGCTCGAGTCCTGACTAGAACCAGGAAGTACGACCACATTAGTCCAGTTCTCAGGCTTCCTGTGTCTCAGAGAATAGACTTTAAAACACCTCTGCTTGTGTACAAGTCTCTCCATAGCCTCGCACCAAAATATATTAGTGACATGTTAGTCCCATATGAACCAGCCCGGACTCTGAGGAGCACAGGGACTGGACTCCTGTTAGTGCCCAGAGTCAGAACTAAACATGGGGAGGCTGCTTTTCAGATTCATGCTGCTAAAATCTGGAACAGTCTTCCTGAAGATGTGAGACAGGCCTCCTCTCTGACAATGTTTAAAACCAGGTTAAAGACAGTTCTGTTTAACTGTGCATACAACTGAAGGATTTTATATTTTTATCTTTCTTTTTAATGTTCTGTGATAATTTATGATTTTAATGCTTTCTTGTTTTGTTCAGCACTTTGAATTGCCTTGTGTATGAATTGTGCTATATAAATAAACTTGCCTTGCCTTGCCTTATGTCTTCTCTAGATTATACAGGATTCATGCTTCTTTATAATGCTAAATTTAATTATTGTATTCTTTATTATGCTAAAGATATATACATTATACATACTTCTCTATCATGCTATAGCTAGATATTTTATGATCTTTTTTTGTTGTTGCAGACAATATGAAGACATTTTCATTCTTTCCTGGCCGCGTCACTGTGATTTTTGGCAAGGGCCCACGTGGATTCCTGCTGCAGGACCCTTCGGAGGAGGCGAGGAAGATCAGGGACGACCCGTCCATGAGGGAGTGCGGTGCTCCTCTGAGGGAGGAGGTGGTGAGGGAGAACGCCCTCACTCTGGTGCGAGTGAGAGGAGGTGATGCCTCAGACAAAGCTGAAGTGCTGGGGGAGTACATCGCTCACAGCAGGCAGTAAGACCAGCACAGTGCCTGCTGTCACTCTAATGTCACTGCTGTCTGAGGAGGCCATAGAGAAGGTTGTGCAGCGGATCTTGGAAAAGCAGCAGCAGCCTCCAGCAAATAAACCCCACACAAAGAAATGCCTGTCTTGTGGCCAGCCAAAATCCAAATATGAGGGCGATGGCAGCTCCATCCACGAGTTTTACCAGCCGGGTCCTACCAGGTATTTCTATTGCTCCACCAAGGTCTATAACACTTCGCGAAAATTCACTGTGGTAGACCCAGCCGCTGCTGCCAGATCTACAAGCCTGCTCATCCTCTACTCATTACACCAGCAACGCCCACATCTAATCCACCAATAACCACCAGGACAGCAAGTTTAAAGCCGGAGACGCCCACTTCCCGGCCTTCTGAAGTCTGCAAGTGTATGTCAGCGTAATGCAACTGTCCACCATGCAGTCTTCACCCCGTGCTCGTGCGTCCCCGTCTGCTTCGGGCTCGTCGCCTAGCTCTCTGAATGATTTGTTCATTTCCCCCTCGCCTGTGCCCGACCGGTCCCGGAGGAGCGCGCGCCTGGCGTCCCAGGAGGCTGGGTCCGTCCGCACCTTCCTCGCGGCCCGTGGCGTCGTGCCAGGTCCGGATGCAACCCCGCTGCAGCTCCAGCGCCTCGTGGAGCAGCTGTCAGCGGATTCTGCCTCCCCCCCCCCCTGCTCCGGACT